AAAAACATGTGTAAATGACGGTCTATCAATCGGCTCTACGAGATGCCTCATAGAGTGGAGGGCGAGGAGAACTCTCTTCGTGATCAGATGGACCGACTGTAAAGTGGGGGTCGACGGACCGGGCGAGTAGAGTATGCAGGATCCTCCGTGGGGTCCATAGCTTCACCGCATTGGTGCGGCCAGCCTCGAACTCCTCCTGCTCGTACTTGGGAAGGTAGAGGGCCTGGAATGCGACCTGATAGTAAATCGATGGTGTACTATCGCTCCTTCATCATCATATAGGTGGTGTCCAACCCTATGGCCTAGGCGAATGCATCATAAGTCAGCACCCGTGGCTGACCTCCAAGCATACACTTCACGTGGGGCCGACTCTTCTTGCTCGTCGGGACGACGTGGGAGAAGGTGGGTAGAACTCCACACAAATCTAATGGTAGATGAGCTCATCCACCGACAACAGCAGGCACCACTAGGGGTGATAGGCTACCCCTTCCACCGCGGCTCGACAATTAAACATGTTAAGCATGTCCAAGTCCAGCCACCAATGCGATCCACTCGGACTGTCCCTCTGATAGGAAAACTTGGCCCCGAACCGTGCATGGTTCACCAAGTAGTTGATAAACTCATGCTCCAAATTAAGCATCCTGCAAAAATGACAAACATGCACCATATGTGAAAATAATTGTCAATCTCCACTCATTGGGAGGAAAAAGGAATTACCCCCACACTTATATTTACACTAGGACCCATGCTATTTAAAACAATTAAGCACAACCACACTGAGGCATGGTTCTAGGTATTTCACGGATTATCCACACAAAAAAATTAAACCCGAACCATGCCACGGTGGCTACCATCCACCAATCAAGCATAAAAGTTGCACATTCATTCACAAAATAGCACTTGGTGGGAAAATTCCACCAATAAGAGAAATTCTAATCAAAACATGCCCACTGAGGCTCAACTAAGCTCATGCAAACATCATTCATTCACCACAAGTCACCTAATTCCTCGATCTATTGCTAAGTTCAACATTCAATTCACTAAAATTCTCCTCACTTCACTACCTAATATGATTCTCCCAAATTAACCAAGGTAGAGTTGAAAACAAACCTGGAGACTCAAGTAGAAGGGTAGGGGAAGTGAGGAGAGGGTAAAGGAGGTGAAAAACTGGCCGAAAACATAATGGGGAGGGTCATTGGAGCTTCGCCGGAAGCTCGTCGGCGACTTCACTGGGAAAAAATGACTCCAAATCCCCCCAAAATTTTGGCGAAGGCCGCCCTTGACGAGGGGAGAATGGTTCTGCGATTGGATTTTCATTTGGCTCACCGAAAGTGAGTGAAAAGAGCAAAAATCTTTGGAAAATCATGATTTTCCGACGATTTTTGGTTCGTGAAGTGAAGGAAAAGCATTCACGACCCTTTTATAGGCACATCTTGAGGTTCATAGACGCGTTTTCCCGTTCACAATCATTAAGACCGTGAACATTGCAATCCGTCTGTGAACGAGGGGAAACCGGTGGGTTTGACACACGTGGAAGCGCCTTGGTTCGTGGACGCGTTTGACTGTTCACGATCGATTAAGACGGTGAACAGAGCAATCCATCCGTGAACTGCAGTGAAAACACACAATCAAAAAAATATGGCATGGGGATACCGGTCGACTACTTGAACTCTTCACTCGACACAAAAACGAAAATAAGGAAAAGAAAACAAACCTACGTTGGGTTGCCTCCGAACAAGCTTTAAGTTAACATCACTAGATTGACGTTGTGGATCTATCTCGCCTTTGAACGGCATGCCACCGAGAGTGGATCCGCCACGATCTCGGGGCGAGGCATGTTGCCTCCCAACTTACTCTCCGTGGGGTGGCCTTCTTGGCCAATGAATTTCGCTTTGACCTTTTCCTTCCTCTGGGCATTAGCATGATTTATCCTTTCCCTCCAAGCTCTTTTCCTTCCTTCTTTGGACGAGATGCCCTCTTGGCTTTCTTGCTTTAAATCATCAAAAGAACCACAGTAATAGTGGGGTTCACCTTGCAAGGTTCTCCTCCACTTGCATTCATATCACCCGGTTACACTTTCTTCACATCATCACTCCTAGGCTTAGGATCAATTCCAAGAGTAATTCTCTCCACACCTGGAACTTCCAAATGGCTTGGTGGAAATGCAAGTTTAAGCACTTGTTTTGAAGCTGGAGTAATCTTCTTTGAGATGGAATGCTTAGAAGATCAAGAAGAAGCAAGGAAGGACCTCGTCCAAGTTGATCAAAACCATGTCTGCAAAGCTGAACTTTGCCAGAATTTGGATAAGGCGGGAGAGCTGTCTGAGGTAGCCACTTTGGGGATTTATTATTGGAGCTTGAGGTACGAGCAAGGGAAGATTCGAGTTGGAGGCCAAAGTGTGCAGCTTCCTAAACCACAAGAAGGAGTTGGGTGAGTTCGACGTGACCCAGAAGGCTATTTCCTACAAGCTCCAAGTGGGAAGGAAGGCTGGTTGTGAAACATGTGCAGCAAGGCAGGTTCCCTTATGCGAGTAGGATTACTTGAGCTAGAAGAAGTCCTTATTTGCTTAGATTTCTTTTACCAATTCTGTTCCAAATTGTTTCATTGTTTAAGTAGGTTAGTTGTTCATTCTTTTGGCTATAAAAGTCTTGTTTGATGCATTGTAAAGACACGTTAAGTTTTAATCAAAGATCCCTTCGTGGAATTACCCAAGCTTGTGAAACTCGGTTTGTTCTTGGTTGCTTTGCCAAGAAGTGCAGTTCAATTGAACCAATTATTCCCCTTGGTTGATTGATAAATTCAATCCTTGTTAGCCTCCTTCCCTTCGTGTTAAGGTTGCTTACTTGGTTATCTCGTTTCCCATCAACTACAATCCCCTTTGTTATTACGAAACCCACCATCGACACGACCTTCTTTGTTTCCAGCTGCGAATTCTGAATAAAGTGCCATCTTGGGGCTCATCAAGTGCCATCATCGCCTAGTTCAAATACAGCGGCAACAACAAAGAAACAGCAGGACCCTCGACCTGTTGCAGCAAGAACAAGACGCAAAGATCCCATCGCATTGCGCGGGGAACCAGAGGAAACAGAGACCAAATCCGCGTCCAACAAGGAGATTCAATTTGAAGAATCCAATATGACAGGGCAACAAATTAATATGACGAAGATGCTACAAACTATCATGGCACAAATCAACGCGTCATTCGAGACACGATTTGAGCAAATCAATCGCCAATTGGAAGAGCTGAAGTTGATGGCGGCAGAGCTAAAGACACTGGCGAAGCAGGAAACAATTCCTGAAGGTGATCAAAGCACGCAGGCTTTAATGAGCGTATCTGAAACATGGAGCGTCATATGGTTCTTGCCGAGAACAACCACCGTGATCGAAATCACGACTTCCATGATCACGACCGGCAACCACCAGAAACAGGGGGCGTCGATGACCCGCGAGGAATCAAATTGAACATTCCTCGTTTCATGAAAGCCTTAATCCGTCTGACTACTTAGATTGGGAACGAAAGGTAATCTTATTTTTCGATTGCCACAACTACATTGAAGAACAGAAGATCATGCTTGCTTCCTACGAATTTGGAACTTATGCAGCTGCTTGGTGGGAACAAGTTCGCATTAAGCCAAGGAGAATTGGCTTACCTCCCATAGCTACCTGGCTGGAGATGAGGAATTTGATGAGATAAAGGTCTGTGCCCTCGTATTATCAACGTGATCTCCATGACACTCTGCAATCACTATGACAGGGAAGCAAGAGCGTTGAAGAGTATTTCAGGGAGCTGGATCTTCTCATGATACGAGCCAATGTTCGAGAGGAAAAGGAAGCCAATATCAGTCGATTTTTGCAGGGCCACAATCGAGATATTAAAAATCAGGTGGAGCTGTTTCCATTCGTGGAATTTTAGGAGGTGGTTCAATTAGTTGTGAAAGTTAAGAAACAGCGAAAGCAGAACTCAAGGCGGAGGTTCACGTCATCGACCAGTTTCCCAAAACCTGTCCCTGAGGAAGAATTGAAGCCGGAGTTACCCAAGAATTCCACGAGGCAGGCTCCTCTCACAGCTCAAGAGAAGACTGGGCCTTCTAGTGGAACCATCAGATGCTTGAAGTGCCATGGCTATGGTCATAAAGCTCATCATTGTGTGAATCACTAGTATTGCTCGGAAGATGAAGCAAAGGAGGAAATGCAAGGGGCCCAAAGCGATTGAGGTTCTGAACACAAGATGGAGGTAGCGGGTAGACCATTGCTCGTGGTTCAGAGAACATTGGCAAGTCAAGAAGACAACTTACCTATTGTAGACTAACGAAGTAACCTGTTTCATACTAGGTGTCAAGTGCGAGGTAAGACTGTTACATTCATTGTCGATGGAGGGAGTTCTGCAAATGTGGTAAGCCTTGATGCTTTTAAGAAGCTAGGTTTGGCTATGATCCCTCGACCAGAACCATACTCCTTGCATTGGCTAAGCGATCACGCTGCAATCAAGGTCAACAAACAGGTAAGGTTGTCGTTCTCAATTGGGACATACCATTATGAGTTGTTGTTGGACGTGATTCCAATGTAGGCAGCACATGTGGTTGTTGGAAGGCCTTGGCAGTTTGATTGCCAAGTCTCCCATGACGGCAGGATGAATCTTTATTCGTTCAAATATCAGGGGCAAAAGATGGTGCTCAAACCGTTGTCACCAGAAGAAGTTCCTTCCGATCAGCAGCACAAGGTGCGGGGTAGAACACAAGGGGCGGGAGCTTCCAGTGGTACTCCTTCAATCGACATGAAGGGCAATAATTTGATGTCCCAAAGTATCTTTTGACTATCCTTCACAGAAGGATGGTTCCCTACCGAAGTAGAGCTCGACAAGCCTATTTCCCAGCTGCCCTGCAACACACTGAATCGGGTGGGACGGCTGGAGCCGAGTCAGAGCAAGACGCTGCCCTCGACACATTGCCAAGTGGCCCAGCAACGTATAGAAGCAAAGGAACCCAACCGTAACAAGCCCCATTGCATGAACCCAGAAGCACAATTTCTTCAGTACACGAGGCGAACAAGGTGGGGAAAATGGGTGAGTCGGTTGTGGAGATTGGAATTGAGTCGATCCAATCTGAGGCTTGGAAAAGGTTTTTGGGGACCCAAGGAAGATGTAGGAGTCAAGAATTCCGCTCGACGACCCTTGAAACGGAAACGCCCAATTTTCAAATTGGTTCGCCTGAATCTGGGTTGGAGCTGCCGGAATCTGGGCAGTTCAAATTTTCCGGTGGCGGGAAACCTTCTCCACACAATCCGCGACGATTCGAGCACGACTAGATCATGGAAGAGGGCGCGATTGCTTCCTGGAGGCAAGGTGCGAACGATGACAGTAAGGGATTGAATCAAGGGCTCGACGATCAGAAATCCCCAATATTTTGGGACTCGTCGGAGTTCCAAATGACACCGACAGCAGTCGAGTTTCCGTCAATATTTCATTACCACATTTGGGATGCTTTTGTTGCTGCTCATGGTTGCAGGTTATTCCCAGCTTTGAGGTCAAAGCTTTTTGAACAGGGGAAGCCTGATGTGATCACAAATTTGCACATCTATGACTTGGTATCGTTTTCCAAAGATTCGATCTCTACACAAATGAAGAACCGTAAATTATGGCTAAGTGTTTTGGTCATTTCAGGAGGCATACTTTGCACGTCTGGAACTTCCAAATGGCTTGGTGGAAATGCAAGCTTAAGCACTTGTTTTGAAGATGGAGTAATCTTCCTTGAGATGGAATGCTTGGGAGAGCAAGAAGAAGCCAGGAAGGCCCTCGTCCAAGTCGATCAAAACCATGTATGCAAAATTGAACTTTGCCAGAATTTAGCCAAGGTAGGAGAGTTGTTCGAGGTAGCCACTTTGGGGCTTTATTACTGGAGCTTGAGGTACGAGTAAGGGATGATTCTAGTTGGTGGCGAAAGTGTGCAACTTCCTAAACCACGAGAAGGAGTTGGCTGAGTTCAACGTGACCCAAAAGTCTATTTCCTAGAAGCTCGAAGTGGGAAGGAAGGCTAGTTGTGAAACGTGTGTAGGAAGGCAGGTTCCCTTATGCGAGTAGGATTACTTGAGCTAGAAGAAGTCCTTATTAGCTTAGATTTCTTTCCCAATTCTGTTCCAAATTGTTTCCTTGTTTACGTAGGTTAGTTGTTTATTCTTTTGGCTATAAAAGCCTTGTTTGATTCATTGTAAAGACACGTTAAGTCTTAATCAAAGATCCCTTCATGGAATTACCCAAGCTTGTGAAGCTGGTTTGTTCTTGGTTGCTTTGCCAAGAATTGCAGATCAATTGAACCAAGTATTCCCATTGGTTGATTGATAAATTCAACCCTTGTTAGCCTCCTTCCCTTCGTGTTAAAGTTGCTTACTCGGTTATCTCGTTTTCCAACAACTACAACCCCTATGTTCTTACGAAACCCACCATCGACACGACCTTCATTGTTTCCAGCTGCGAATTCTGAATTGAGTGCTATCTTGGGGCTCATCACCTTCATTTGCATCAATAATACCTTGGCGGTGGCAAGGAAAGGGCACTTGGTTTATTAATTTGTTTCATATTTATATTAAATTTTTTATTGCATTAGTTGTTTCTAACTATACATGGGTGTTTCTCTATCATCACCCTTCATCTAATTTCTTAAGAAAATCCTACGTAATACTCAAGTTTATTGTATTTAATTTCCACTTCTTCTCCTCTGGCTGTTCATCATTGTCTTCAATCGTCGCATTCAGGCATGCATAAACACGTACAACCTTTATTGTTCTTCGAGTAATCGCATTCGGAATCCTTGCGGCAAGCTTATAAACTCAAATTTGATTCGCCTCCTCACCTGTCTTCCTCTACCATTGTCCTCAATTCCCTCATATTCAGTTTGGGAAATACCAACACTTTCGGTTCCCCCAAAATACAAAACTCTAATGACTTCTAGATAAGCATAATCGAAAGAATTTGAATGGAAAATTACGCTATGGCTGTGGTGACCATGAAGTTCAAAGTCTTTAATCCCAAGGATATCGAGCTCTAGCAATACCCAATTTTTTAGTGGGCCACATAATTTGAATTTACGTTCCACCATGAGGCATTTAAGAAGGAAAAGTTGTCTCGCATGGAGACACTTCTGCTTTGCCTTTATTGCATTAGTTTTGATTCTTCATTTTTGAAGTGGTATGAGATATAGCATAGATAAGAGCCTCCCTCGAATTCCACCACAAGCAGAAGCTACTATCTGGAGCCAATTAAGGTCCTGCTAATATGAGCTCACATTTTCAAGTCAGGATCGTACGCAGTAAGGTCTCTGAGCTCTCTCTCTCTCTCTCTCTCTCTCTCTCTCTCTCTCTCTCTCTCTCTCTCTCTCTGTGTGTGTGTGTGTATCTTCCTCTACCAATCATCAAACTAGGGGGCGGGTACAACATCACAATAACCTTGCACCTAGCTTTCTCGCCACCAGGCCATCGAAGGATCACTGAGCTCTCTCTCAACTTATCGACATTCTTTGATTCCATCGCGTCCTTGAAATGGTCGCCCGTCGCCTGCTTATAAATGATTCGCTTGGAAAAAATAATCTCTTTTGGTCTCAAATTTTTTTAACTAACATTACTCTGCCAAGTTACATGAAAGAGATCCCAGAAGTCTCAAGAAAATTTATTGCTAACTGCCCGAAGTGAGAATAAAAAAAATTATTATGTTAAAAGCATTCCTTCATAATTATGGGTCTCATAACTAGACTGTTAGATTAGTAATAATCACGCACTTACGCAATTGCCACAGTGAAGCGTGGCGCATACAATCTAGTTCTTTTAATTTCATTCTCCACCCCATGAATCCCATTTTTCACTATAAATAAGCAAAATCCTCTGCCCCTCCCAAGAATTCCAACCCTCACATCACATTTTTTTAATTTCATTCTTCAACCCATGAATCCCAACCCTCACAATGAATAAAAAAATCTATAGCCTAGCTCACGAGTTCCATCCCACACGCATGAAAAAACAAAAGTAGTGGAATTCCTAAATTGTTGCATGGGTTAGAGTTAAGGTTTAACGATAGAGTGGTGAAACACCTAAGTTAACCTTAAGTTGGTTCCTAAAGATGAATATAAAACATATGACATTGCTACTATTCTTAATTATTCAAAATGAAAATTGATATGAGAGTTATTTGAAGATTTTTCAAATTGATATACCTAATCATTAATCATTCTTCTATACACAAGTTATCATCCATTACTCACCTATGTGATGGATTAGCCGAGATAGGAATGACAAAGCAATTTGATTTTGTTTACAGGTTGGTTTCTTCTTATGATTTTTCCAGCTTTCACTGCTTCGGGTGAACCTGATTTTCAGCTATAAAGATAGCGAATAAACTACGAAACAAAATAAATGATGACTTTCTTGTTATGTTTTAATTATATATATTGAATCTAGCTAAAAGTTATTGTATGTACGCTATTTAGATCTATTTAGATGACCTCAAATAACACCGTATACTTTTAAAATTGTTATGAATTATTATTTTATATATTTAACTACTTTTGGACCAAGTTAAAACCTTGGCTCTACCCTTGATATATAATTATATATAGAGGTTACAAATAGTAGCGTACACAGTATTGTCGGAGAGGTTTGTCGTCAATAAATACGATGATAATTAAAAAATTAAATTAATAAATTAATTCGAAATTAATTTATAAAATTCACAATATCATGTTTACAACGAATAATGACGAATTTTCATCTACTGAAATGTCTCTAAAATACATTTATCACAGGATGGCGATTTTTCCTCTGCCAATGAAGGTGTTGAAGCTCATTGACAAAATCTGCAATGCTTTTATGTGGAATGTGGGTGAAGGGGGTTCCAGGAAGACAGCTTCGGTTGCTTGGGGATTATGTGGCTTTGCCAATAAAGGAAGGTGTCTTATCAATTTGGCTAGCCTGGATTTCTAAGTAGTAAGTACAGGGTCAAGCAGAGAACGTTTTGGGGCTTGAAGGTCACTTCTAGTGGTTCTTGGGTGTGGAAACGCATTCTCAAATGCAGACCTCAAGTTCAGACTTCCATTACTAGGAATGGGGCCTCATTACAATGGGATGGAGTTACACACAAAAAAATTTCAGCCAAGGCAGTTTGGGCTTCCATTCGTACTCCACACCAGTCAGATCCTTGGTGTAAAGTGATATGGGTAATGCCATATTATCCTAAGAATAATTTGTTAGTATGGTTAGTGGTAATGGGTCGTATAACTATAAAGGACAAGCTGCTCAGTTGGAAGCTCGTTGGTGAGGATATATGTGTGTTATGTCCAGGAGGATCAGAGTCTCGAACTCATATGTTTTGTTCTTGCTCTTATTCACTGTGGGTATTGCAGCAAGTTATGCAGCAAATTCACTGTGTGATACCAGTTTTCTACAGCTGGGAGTATCATCTTCAATGGGGGATTGATCGATGGAGTGGAACATGTGATTATGTAGTTGTTGGCGGGCTTCTCTGGATCGTGACTTTAAGCCATATTTGGCGTGAGCGTTGTCGCCGATTTGCTGGAGAAGGAGACTGGTGTTCTCCTAATGGACTAACAATGAAGATTAAAAGTGATGTTAGGCATTGGGTAGCAGGTAATCCATAGATCTAGGAGATTTTTAGGAGAGTTTCCCCATGACTTGGGTTTTTCTTTTACAGGATTGTTTGTATAGATGCTAAGTTCCTGTAGGACTCATGAGAGGAGTTTAATGCTTGTTTGCATCTCCCGAGCTTAATGGCAATTTTTGATTAACGAATCAAAAAAAATCAAATCTTTTTCAAATATACACAATAAACAATCATTCATAAATTGGTCATTTAACCGATTTCGAAGATCGTTCTTCATTATCTTCATAGCTTAAAATTTAGCATCTTGCAGTTGCAACATATAAAGTCAATACCAACTTCAAAATCAAGTATTCTGGTGGGTCTCGGCCGTGGTCGCTTGGGTTTTGATGGTTTTTTGTTTCTCCCTAGGTCCAGCACACATGTACAATGGTATGGCTTGTGGGGTTTTTTAATAGCAATTGATAGTATTATGAGTTATTTTAAATAAATTTAAAAGGAATTATTGTTAATTAAAATTTAAGATTAATTCATTTATATTATAAAATTCTTTTAGTCTAATGAAGGTGTGTCGACTATAATTATCGAATGGTTTTCGGAAGTCCCGAACTAAATAATTTGTACCAAAAATATGTAGGTTCTTCGCAAAATTCTCGGGCGAGAGTGTGTCGGACAACACACCCCACCTTGCCTTAGGTCCGCCCCTGGTTACAAACAATAATAGTAAACTTTCTTTGACGAGGAAAATTGACACCTATCTAATTAAGAAACACAATATCAATTTAATGAATAAAAACAAATCCTAATTAGCTAAACACGAGGTGAATAAAAATACACAAATAACATGCCTTCCTCTCCAACCATGCAAACCTTGACAATGGGTGTTGGTGAAAAATTGGTTCTATCTACAGCCAAATTTTATAATTAACTTTGCGAGTATAATTCGGCATCATGTTGTAGATGAGTATTATTATGAGGACCAAACGCAGCCATGATTATATAGAATCTGTCACGATAGAGCTATCCCCCAATTTCATAAAAACAAGCTAAGCAGGGAACTTTGGATAACCAAAATAAGCAGTTATAGGGATGGAATACCATATCTGACCCGACGGATTTTCCCCGATGTGAACCGTGTGGGCCGTTAAAATCCAACCCGCATTAGAACAGGGCGGATCTAGACCCGCTTCGTTGTTAATACAAATCGGACATGGATCTTCCCATCTTTCCCGCTCTACTCCGCCCGCTTTGCCTTACCGTATAATCCCCTTCAAAGCTGAACAGAAAGACCCAGACAGCCATATGACTCGGCGCGATTCATATTCCCAGAGAGAGACCTAGCTAGCGATCCTACTGCCATCAGTTCCCATGAATAAACCTTGCACCCGAGAAACTTATCTTCCAAAAAATCCAATCCAACCAGCCCATTCCTACTGATATGATCCTAAATTGCTTGTAATTCAAGTTTCCAAGGATTGATAAAGGGGCAATGTTGATAAGGAACAAAACATATAGAATTTGGCTAAGTGTTTTGTATGTTCCAGGACACCAACTTTGGAAGCTCGAATTCCTCTATTTACTCAATGGAAATGGGTGTTCTTGGGTTTGTTTTGAACTTGGGAGTGTACTATAGAAGCTAGATGGTTTGGATTCCTAGGAAGAAGGATGGAGGTGCGTTTTCAAAGGCTTCCAAGTTGCTATGACAAAATCGAGAAACTGGCTGTTATTTGTTAAGGCAAAACACGAGTTTGAGCTGATGACTTTGAGGCTTCATATCTCGAGTTTGGGACATGATCAAAGGTCGATTCGAGTTGGAGCAAATAAAAGGACACTTTTTAAACCCAGAACTGGAATTGGATGAGCACGACGAGGCCAGGAAGATCATTTGCGAGTCCATCAAAGTAGCTACCTGACCTCTTTTGTAATCTGTGTAGAACTAGGATTCCGAGTTCAATTTGGAGTATACTTGTAATTCAGTTTCCTTCTTTAATTAGGATAATTTCAGTCCTGGTTTTAGTTTGTAATTTTTCAAGCCTATAAAAGGCCTCACCCACCCTATGTTTTATCATCGATTCATCTTCCATTCTTCCTCCCCCAATTCACAGGGACTCCCTCTGTCCTATAATTGTATGTATGACAGAAAACACAATATGAATGACTCTCTTAGAGCTACTCCTACTCCTTTCTTCATCGTCCTCATCTTATTATTTTGACAAAGTCGTTGGAGGGGAATCAAAGAAAAATCGACTACGATATTTAGGTAAAATCAATCCCATGTTTCTCTGTTGTTCTATTTGGAATATTTATTGTGGGTGAGATTTCTCCAGTTCGTGACCATATTGAGTAATTGAATTGCTCATCTTGCAAATACTGATTGTGCAGTACATGGACAAGGAGGACCTTGTATAGAACATTGATAACCTTGATGCTATACAATGTCCCAACCTCAACTTCGTTTAGAGGAAACAATGTCCCAACCTCAACTTGTTGCTCCTCAACCTGATGTTATACATGTAGTTGCTGAAGCCCCCCCTGAAAATACGAATGATCAAGCGAAACGCAAGGGTCATACCTTTTGGTAAGGTGTTCTCAGAGTGGTGGAAACACTACAACAAGGTGACAGTGGATGGCAAGCCAAAAGCCTAGTGCAAGTACTGTAAGAAGAGGTTTGTTGGAGACCCATCACAAGGAAAAACTCATCTAAAGAATTATTACCATTGGGTACTAAAGAGAAGCGGCCTGGAGATAGAAAGCAACAACTCCTACAAGGAAATCTGAACAAGGAGAAATTCTAGTTGACAACATTCAACTTTAGTCAAGAGAATTCTGGAAAGGATTTGGCTAAGGCAATTATGAAGCATGAGTATCCTCTCTCAATCGTGGAGCATGAAGGTTTTAGGAGTTATAGCATGAGTTTGAATCCCTCCTTTAAGATGGTGTGTAGAAACACCATAAAAAAAGATTGCCTTTGCATTTATGATCATATAAAACAAGCTACAATGAAGCTTTTGAGGAAGAACGAAGGTCGAGTGGCAATAACCACTGATATGTGGACATCTTCTCATAAGAAGGGTTTCATGGCAGAGACTGCACACTATATCGATAAGAATTGGACTTTACAAGTCGAATTATTAGGTAATTTGTTGTGTCCATTCCTTTATTCAAGTCTGTGATTACTACTGGTCTACTACCTGGTTGAGATGTGATTATTCCTACATGAATGGTTACTAGTGTCGTTTGAATTTTTATGTCATTACTTGTACTACTGCCTTGTGATTAGGGTTGATAATCGGTTTCCCAGGTCACTCGGTTGTCGGAGGGCCATTTTGGTGCACCGGTATACCTCCTCCCCACCCGGTATATACCATCGATTTTCCGGTTAACCGGATACCGTGACGGAAGGAGAGGGGCACAAAACTGGCTACAAAATGCAGCGCATGGAAGAAGGGGTTTGGGGAGGGATCTAAAACCCTAATACCCAATTACCCATCATCATTCAGTGAGCTTCCTAGAGACTCTCGCACCTTCACCCATCGGCCGCCTCCCCTCCTTCTCCTCGCCTTCCAACCTCCCGGCGACGCCGATCCGCCACCGAGCTACCCGCTCTGCTGCCTTCCGCCCTTCCCTCTCTGATTCTCCTCCCTCTCCGACTCTGCCTACCATATCCGACGCTCTTCCTTGCGGCCCTTGTCCAAAGCCTTCCTCTTCCCCTGTCGCTGGCGATGAAGCTTGACTTCGTCTTTCCCAGTCGCTGGCGCTCTGTAAGTTCCCTTCTCAATCTCTTGCCTTCATCTTTCTTCTTCCCTAGTCTGCCAGTGCCTGCCCCTCATTGTTTATGTTTGTTAATTTTGGTTTTTCGTGGAACATAACAGAGGCAGAGCTGTCGAGCTCCTCGAACTCGACCAGCAGCCAGCCCAAGGCCCCAAGCGCCTAGCGAAGTGCCAGCAACAGCCCGCAGTAGCTTGGAATTGGAAGTAAAAGAGAAAAAAATTAAAAATCTATGAGCAGCTTTGAATGATGTTAATGTTTATTAATTTTAGTTTTGTGAAGGATGTTTGGAGCTTTGAATTAGTGATTGAAGCTTGGAATAGTTAGTAATGTTTGATTAGGCAATAGTCAGCAGTGTTTGATGGAAGCTTTGAATTAGTGATTGATGTTTAGAAATTGGAATATGTATGACTTATGAGATATGATAATTTGGTTGAGTTTGGGTTGAATGTTTGAAAAATGAGCAATGCAGAAATGGCATACTTGAGTAGTTGAAGAAATGGCATACTTGAGTAGTTGAGTAGTTGAAGACTTGAAGTAATGAATTGAGTCTTAACAAGATAAATTAGATTGAATTGAATGATTAAAACTTAAATGGTTTGGTTGTTTATGTGTCCATTTTCTTGTAATTTTGTAGGACGAAAAAATCAAAGAACGTTGGTTCGCTACCTCCTCGTCCTCGAAGCTCTTCAAAGAAAGGGAAGGCTTCAACTAGTGCGCCTTCCACTACGGCAAACCCACCTCCTTCATCTGCAGCAAATCCACCACCTCCATTTGAAGCAAATCCACCTCCATCTGAAGCAAATCCGGTTACTACTACTGGTGTTGCAGGTGAGGTACCTGGTGTGCAAAAGAAAATTGACAAGGGGAAGGGGAGGAAGAAGACGGTTAAGTGGTGAATCCCTTATGATGAGGTGCTAGTGGATGACTATTCATTTGGAAAATGCAAACAGAGTGGGAGGCTGATCAAAGCTCATTCTACCAACAATGGGACTACTGGTTTGAAAAACCATCACCTGATGTGCAAGAGGAGGTCGAAGGAATCTAATGGGCAGTCGGTATTAAACTATCAAGCTAGTGGGATTGGTCAGGTAGGCTCTCTTACTCCGTGGATGTTTTATCAGAACAAAGCTAGACATGCATTAGCTATCATGATAATCTTGGATAAGCTTCCGTTTCGATTTGTTGAACAGGAAGGATTTAGGAGATTTATGGCAGTAACTCAATCTTTGTTTGTGATACCTGGAAGGCAAACAATAAGATCTGATTGTTATGTCATTTTTATGGAGAATAAAGAGATGTTGATTGAGTTTTTTTAACTCAAAGTGCAAAGGAAGGATTTATATAACTACAAATACATGGACTAGTGATAATAACCAGAATTATATGTGTGTGACTGCACATTTTATTGGAGATGATTGGAAGCTGTAGAAGAGAATTATTTGTTTTGTTCCCATTACTAGTCACACAGGGAGAGATATTGCAGATACTTTGGCAGCATGTCTACAAGAATGGAAAGTGAGAATCTGTTTTGCATGACAATGGATAATGCCACTTCCAATAATGTTCTCATTGAGTGCATGAGAACAAAAATGAAAGGGTGGGGATCGGATTTGCTAGATGGGAAGTATCTACAGTATAGATGTGTGGCACATATAATCAATCTAGTTGTTTCTGATGGATTGAAAGAGGTTGGAGTTGTTGTGGAGAGGGTAAGGGATTGTGTGAAATGGGTGAAGTCATCACCAGCTCGGAGTGCAAAGTTCAAGTCTAGCATTGACAACCTAGAGATGGATGGTAGAAGACTTGTGTCTTTGGATGTTCCGACTAGGTGGAATTCCACCTATTTGATGTTGGATTCAACAGAGAGGTTTGATTCTATGTTTAAGGTCATGTATGATAGCCCTATTAATGCTTCCTTTCGAGACTATGTGGACTCCAAGAAGGGTCTTCCATCTGGACAAGATTGGAGCAGCATTAGGCGCCTCATGAAGTACCTGAAGTTCTTTTATGATCTTACTCTTCGTGTATCAAGTATGTGAATGAACTATCAAATTTTAAAATTCATGTCTTAAAGTTAAAGTGAATGATTTCTAACTTATATTTATTCTGTAATTTTTTCTTTGTATCAAGAACAACATATGTCACTGCACATACTTTCTGCAGAGCCATTGTTGATATTCATAAAGTGATTGGTACTTTGAAGAATGATGTAGATGAACATATACAAAGAATGGCAGAAAGAATAGAGGCAAAGGTGAGAAAGTATTGGTTTGAGAATGATGCAGATGATGAGGAGGATAACCTTAGAATAAATAGGATAGTTTACATGGCCCATGTGCTTGATCCAAGGCGTAAACTATACTATTTAACTATGATGTTGGAAGAGATGTATGGAAAGTCAAAAGGGGAAGCTTTGGCAGATCAAGTAAAGAAAGATATAACACTATTGTTCTAGGTCTACAAGGTGAAGTATGCATCCACACCCTCTAATTCTGGGCCTACTACTCAGACTACTCCTCCTATTGTGACTAGTGTCGAGTCTTCTGTTATGGGAGGTAATACGCCCCTGGGGGGTGTATATTATCAAAGTTACGCAACTAACGACTCAATCGAAGAATCAATTGAGCTCGAATCAAGAACGAAGCGTTCTTAATACGAACTTGGATAAAACGGAACCGAAAGGACAAATCCACACCTGGGGATAGCTCGATTGGTATAAAAGGGTAGTTGCTCGACCATGATTGAAGTGACTATTCAATCGATACACAAGCTCAGAAATTTTGGAATCCACCAAACCCAAAACAAGTCGCAACTTGCACAAACCAAACGGTTTCGATTTCTATTCAACAAAGTCTAAGTTTTTACAACGTAAATAGAAGGCTAATTATAGCCAACAAAACCTAATACAAATTTAGATGAACAAGGAAACAAATAAGGTAAAATTCTATTCTAAAAAGGTTACAAAATTCGGACACAAACTTCCTTTCTTGAAGCACAAGTAAGCTGCCCGCAAAACAGTCAAAAGGAAGCTTTTGCACTAACTTCGCGCCTTTTGTTCGAGGCCTTCCCGAACTCCAATTCTTCATCCAATTCCTTCCCTTTGTTCACAAACATACTTAGTTTCACGTTGTGTAAGCCTTTTGACGTGAATCCCATCCATGATCCTTGGATTGAGCTCCAAAGTAGGCTTCACAAAACAGTTTTCTGCCTTAGCCATTTTCTGGCAGTTTTCCAGTTTTGAGGTAGCAACTTTGAAGCCTTGGAAAACAACCTTAATTACATCATCTGGATCCACAAAGCATACCATTGGAAAGATGGAATCTTTATCTGCAAAACAACCCCTTAAAATGGAATTTCCATTAAGCTAAATGAGAGAACCATGTCTCCAAAGTATGTACCCTGAACACGGATTTTGACTTAGCCAAATTCTGCATTTCTTCTTCCCAACTTTGATAGGTTCTTTGTCAAGTAATTGTGACGTGAATGGTGGGAAATTTGGGATCATATCAGGCCCTCCCTCTTGAAAAAGTGTTGCCCTCAACACTTTAGCCTTTCGTTGCTCAAACCGTTCACAGAATTTATCCAAAATTGGATCGAAAGAAGGCTGCTCAAACACAATTTTTGGCATAAAATTTGAAGCTTCAAATCCTTCTTGAGTCAACTTCAGCCGCGTCGTGGGACTACAAGGCTCACCTATCACACAATCATCCACAGAATTTGGACCCAAAATCATATCCTGCACATTTTTGAACTCCGACCACAATTTTTGTTAGAAACACGTTTTCTAAGGAAAACGAGTTTCTATATTATCATTATTATTAGGTTTTATTAAATATGGTTAGTAGTATTTTAGTAGAATTAGGTTTAGTATTAGGTTTTCACATCTTTCATTATAAATATGTACTTTGTGTTTTATTTAGGGGGAGGAAGAACAATTATTCAGAAAAGTATCTCAAACCCTAATCTCTATCAAATTCGTCACCTATCCCTAGGGCGTCGGCCATTCTTCTCCTCGATCCCCAATTTCCTCTTCTAAATCCCTAATCCCCAATTCTATCTCAATCCCTAAATATCTATCCATTCCCAATCTTATCACTCGATCGTTAGAACCCTAGAAATAGGTTTCTAACATTTGGTATCAGATCCCGGTTTTGAGATTGAGTTCACCACAACTCTCAACCGGGGACGAGGTCTACAACTGGCCGTGGGCAGAGCTGCGTGACCGGGCTCGCCGCATCGGACGCCGTTGGAGCTCCGATGAGTCGCCGACCATGCAAGCAGAGACGGTGACCAGAATCGCCAACGGCGAGCGACCACCAACCTCCGCTGCGGCCGACGAAGCGGTGGAAGTCACCGTCGGAGGGAGCGACACAGAACCGGCGACAAAGGAGAAAGGCGGCGACATCGCCTCTTCTTGGGATTTTCAGGAACCCAGCTGGGGGATGGGGTCGCCGGTCACGAAGGGAGAAGGGGCTCCGCGGTCGCCGGAAGTTCCAGTCGCGGCGACGAAGGCTAGGAAGGCGGAGCTGTGAACCAACGCGACGGGGACGGGCATGCAACTGCTGGCGGCGTCGGGTCTTGCGTCGAACTGCGTGGAGAGGAAGTTGAGAAGGCCGGTATCCCGGTCAACTTCTAACCGCCATCAAGAGTTCTTGACGGCGGGAATTGGGTCGAAGATGACAATTGTGATGCTTAATGAATTTCAAAATTTGAACTTGTTATAAATCAATTATGGTTTGACAAATGACAATTGTGATGTTATTAATTATAAAAATTCTAAATATTGTAAATAAGATTTAAGAATTACATTATTGATAACATAAAAATACAGGGAAAAAACTCATGAAATTTTTTAAAAATTGACCAGCCTCTCCTCTGCCAACATTCGGTCTGATTATTTCCCGGTTAAACGAACCGAAATATCTTTTTCCCTCCTTGTCTCGGTAATTCGATTACCGGTTAACCGGTTACCAAACGATTACCGGTTAACCTGTTACCGAACGATTACCAGTTAACCGGTTACCGACCGATTACCAACACTACTTATGATTATTTACTACCCAGTACTATTGCTTGTAAATGTAATTACTACCCAAAACATGTTTAAGTTTAATTAAGTTGACTGTTTATTTGTCCTCTGTTTATTACAACTGTGATTACTTTAAGTTTAGGGATACCCGCCACAAACATGACTCATTGCCATCCCTAGTTTCAGAAGCAGAGTAGATAGGGTTAGTGAAAATAAATGGTGAGAAATATTTTTATTTTTTAATTATTTTTATACCAGATGCCATCCAGGTCATCAATATAAGGTGACTGGGTATTGACATGTTGGGTTGACGTTAGTCAATAGGTTTGACTGTTCAACTTAACAGTCAACTCTCGGAATTGTCCAATTTAGCGAAGACTAGAAATAGTTATGGCCACGATGTTATAGATCGATAAGAATGGCCGGCATGTTAAATATGTGAAAAGCTCAAGCCAAGACAAATATATAACCCTAAAAGAATTTACTCCAAAAAATATCTAAACGGATATCATCTTTTTTTTTTGTGATAACCCTAATATATTAATCGAACGGGGCATCTGAATCCCAACAAGGTCATACATCAACCAATAACTCAACTGAGGGCCCGGAGCGTCAAACAAGTGAACTTCAACCGGTAAATCATGGCTAACAGAAGCCATATAATCAGCAACATAATTACCCTCTCGAAAAACATGATCAATACTAACCTCCCAGTCCCTCGCCAATTGTCTGCGAATAGCAGCCGTCATAGTGTAGTGGGGATGACTTACTTGGTTTGACTGCAGAAGAGCTATCGCTGCGGCCGAGTTGGTCTGTAGCTTAACTCTGCGCGCTCCTGTTTCCCACGCGCTGTATAATCCTTGGGCAATCCCTGCAAGCTCAGCGTGAGTGATCGATCCTCCTCCCAAATTCATAGAAAAAGCCTTTATAAACCTTCCATCGCTGTCTCGGATAACTCCGCCGGCCGTTGCAATGCCTAGAGCAGAGATCGCCGACCCATCCGTGTTGACTGCGATCCAGCCCGGCGGAGGGCACTGCCAGCTGATCATCTAAGTCATCCGTCTAGACCCTTTCATGACCTCTTGAGCTTTGGTGAAAGCTCTATTCGTCTGCTCCCTTGTATACTTTGCCCTCGTCGCCGGTCCCTCCATTGGGGAAATTACTTCATCAAAAACCCATTCGTTTCTATTCTGCCACAGCATCCAACAGAGGATACCGAATAAAGATGCGTCCAGCACTTTCCCTCTCCCATTGAGGTAATGCATGAACCAGCGTCTGCTATCCTGTTCAAAAAAATCTAAGTCTGGCTCATCCTGCAACACATAAGACCATACTCCTCTTGCATAGGGACAATCTCGTAAGACATGGATGACCGATTCAGGTCCCCCACCACAGACTTGGCAGTGGCTTGACTGAGAAAGATGGCGTCGAGCTCACTCTGCATTTGTGAGAAGCCGCCCATGCAGCGCTAACTACAGAAAAGTTTTCGTTCGCTGAGGTCCCTGAAACCTCCAAGCCTTCTTCCAAATAGGGTGCGGCTGATCAGTGTTTGCACCCGCTCTCGTTAGCTCATAAGCCGTTTTCAGGGCTATTACCCACGGGAACAGGATGCAAACACAGCTGGGCCACTACTTCTTCGGGGAGGAAAGCTCGAATAAAAGGTAGGTTCCAGTCATCATTGAGCACCATCTCGGCGATAGTCAAGTCCCTAGCCGCATCTGGGATGCCGTGTGAAGCGGAGGCCAAGGGTTGGCCATCAGAGAGCCATCTGTCTGTCCAGAAGCGTACCTGCAAACCACTATTGATATTCCACATTGTTCCCTCCGGAATGAGATGTAGAACTCGGATTACCCCTCTCCACAAGTTGGATAGGCGGCCCTCTTCCCTAGCCCTCCAACCGTTCTTAGTCTGTCTCAAGTATTTCCCTCTGATCACTTAAGCCCAAATGCTATTTTTTCCGTTAGTAAACGCCAAGCAATCTTGATCATAAAAGCTTCATTCATACGAGTGGCGCTTCGCAACCCCAGACCTCCTTCCTCCTTAGGTGTGCATAGAGTCTCCCAGTCGAGGAGATGAATTTTCCTTCCCAAGTCTGAACTGCGCCATATAAATCCTTGAATCTTTCTACCAATGTAATCACGAACCGCTGCTGGAAGCCAGGATGTCTGCATAGTGTAGGCTGGGAGGGACGAAAGTACCGACTATGCCAAAATAATGTGACCCGCCAGGGAAAGCGATCTGACTTTCCAACCCGCCAATCTAGTGTCGATCCGATCAATTAGTTCTGTGTATGTTGCCTTGGAGACGCGGTCGTGAATGACTGGTACTCCCAAGTATCTCCCCAAGTTAGACGTAACTGGTATACCCAGGGCATCACTTAAAGTGCTGGTCTCCGTACTAGCGACGTTCTTCGAAAAGTAAACCCTCGACTTCGCCCAATTCACTTGCTGACCTGAGGCCGCTCCAAATTCCTCAAGACAAGCCATGATAGCATGCACCTGCGACAGTGATGCCTCACCAAATAAGATCAAATTGTTGGCAAAAAATAAGTGTGAGACACGTGGTCCCTCGTGTGAAAGCTGAATCATCTTCCACTCTCCCCGCTCTACTGCCGGCCGAGATTAGATGTCCTAGTCGCTCCATACAAAGGGTGAAAATGTACGAGGATAGCGGGCAGCCGTGTCTTAGTCCTCTCGAAGGTGAGAAGGCTGCAGTGAGGCCACCATTCCACTGAATTTGCATGGTCGCAGATGATATGCATTTCATAGCAACTTCCGTAAAGCTTAGAGGCGCTCCCACTGCCTCCAGAGTCTCTCGAACGAAGCTCCACTTTATGTGGTCATATGCTTTGCCAGATCAATTTTAAGAACCATCCAACCCTTCTTTCCTTTCTTAGCACGCATGGAATGGACTACTTCCTGCAAAACACAAATGTTATCAGTAATGTGGCGGCCCGGAACAAAGATGGTCTGAGTCTTGTGCACCAGTCTGGGCATTAATGGCTTTAGCCGCTCTGCTAGGCACTTGGTGATCATCTTGTAAGTCACGTTGCAGAAGCTAATAGGACGGAACTGCTCAATAGTTGATGGGCGCGCCACTTTGGGTATAAGTGCTACAACCGTCGCATTCACCTCACCAATCTTGGTAGGATTAGTCCAGCAGGCTTCCACAAATTCCAATACTGCCGAACTAACCACACTCTAGTTTCACTGGAAGAAAAGGGGATTCAGTCCATTCGGACCCGGGGACTTGAGCGCTCCCATCGCCTTGACTTCCCAGGAGATCTCTTCCATGGTAATACCGCTGTCAAGCGGCAGCCAGCACTCTGGCCGGAGAGGCGGGAAAGACGCCAGCAGAGGGTGAACCGGCTCACCATCAGTGTACAATGCTTCAAAAAACTGCATAGCAATCTCCAGTAGAATAGCCTGATCCTCCGCCCATACTCCCAGACTGTTCTTAAGAGAATTGATTCTGTTCCGACACCGTCTAGCCACTGTTCTCGCATGGAAATACTTTGTGTTTCGGTCCCCTAAAGCAATCCAATCCAAGCAAGATTTCTGACACCAAAGTAGCTCTTCCTGCAACAGGATGTCTTCAAGCTCCTCTCGGGCCTATTTCAGCCCCATATCGTCGGAATCCCCTCCAACTCTCTATTCAATTCGCTCGATCCTGGCCAGCAGCAAGCTTTTCTTTTTCAATATATGGTCGAACACGTTAGCGTTCCACTCCCTAGCTTCCTTAGTGAACTCCATAATAGATGACAATAAATCATTCCCTCATTCCCAGGAGCGAGCTACCATATCCTTAAAATCATCATGCGTCAGCCAGGCAGCTAGGAATCTGAAAGGTTTCGGTCCTGCAGCCTGGTAACTCGGACATAGTTTCAGCAAGAGCAGACGATGGTCACTTCTTACATGAGGTAGGTGGCAAACTGTGGTATTCGGGAACTTCGAAGCCCAGACTGCGTTGGAGAGCCCTCTATCAAGACGCTCTTTCACCCCTGCCCGAAACCAAGTAAAAGGAGGCCCCGTGAATCCCAGGTCCACCAACCCTTCATCAAGCACGTAGTCCTGGAACTCACTAGCACGACTAGCATCGAAGGGCGCTCCTCCAAACTTATCACTTGGCTGAAGAATGGAACTAAAATCACTTGCAAGGAGCCACGACTCCACCATATCCTCCGCTATAGATCGGATTGAGTGCCACAGCTCCCGACGCTGAATGAGTGCCGGATTGGCATAAACTGTTGTAGGAAACCAACTCTGCAGACCCAGCTGAACTTGAACATGGAGAAATTGAGAGGATCTATCGGATTCCATAATTGTGATCGTGCCAGAATCCAAGTCTAGCCAGATACCCTCTGCAAAGCCCACCGCGTCTACCACGAGGTACTTGTCATACTCCAACTTCTCCACAACTTTAGTCGCTCTATCACCACTGATCCTTGTTCCACTATAATAACAATACTCGGAGAATACCGTCGTTTGTATTCTTTATAAACTCTCAGGAAGCGCTTGCTCCCTGCCCCTCTACAATTCCATGTAAAAATTTTGACCATTAAAGCGTAATGGAGAGAGGAACCCGGCGAAGCGCGAAAGAGGTTAGCCTATGGCAGCCTCATATTCAAGGCTTACCACAGGGCTCTCCAAATTACTCTCGTTCATATGTGCATTCACAGTGTTCTTTGTTCGACCGTCTCTATCCGCCAGGGAGTTCTTCATATGTAAATCTGATGGTTTAGGCTGGGCCCTCTTATTTCGCTGTACACCCTCTTGCACTGTAGTTGGCGTACCCACCTCATTTATAGCTTGGTCCTTCTGCATGCCATGCATGCTAGTGCTAACCTTTCCATTAGTCGATGTATGGGTAGTAAGCGGAGCTGGTGTCACATTACTCCTGTTCTTTGTTATTCCCATTTCAATAATAGGCTCATGGTTAGGCTCGTTCACCGCCCTCCCTTCCCCATCCGTCAGCTGGGTGGGAGTAGCAGACTGCTTCGTTGCAACTATACTCTTATCTTGAACTCTAACTGTTTTCACACCCATGGATATCTCCTTTCCCCCAGTTTCATCCAACGCAGTCCTCGCAGGTTCCATTTCCGCTTCCGAAAGTACGTCAAACCGGGAACCCGAGGCTTGTCCATTCTTCTGTCTTTTCTCAGTGCCGTTGTTGATCCCCCCCCCCCTGGTTAGGTCCCGCGGCCTGTTTTTTCGTTCGTGGTCTTCGTTTCGCGATCATCCACTCACCATAGAGTCCCGCGGGTTCCTCCACAGCCGGATCCGCCGGAGCATTTACAGGCTCCTCTGTTTGCATTGCTTCCTTCGGGAATGAGCACGAACACCGAGATCGAGCAAAGTAAGTGCCACATTGAAGACAAATATTCTCCAAGCCCTCATATTGAATGAAGTACTTCTTTCCATGAATCGTAAATTGGGACAGTAGAGGCTTCGTAATATCCACTTGGACACAAACACGAGCATAGTCACTTCGTGCTCCAATGCTCGTCGCATGATCAACTCGAATGGGCTTCCCAATACGCTGGCCAATTTTCATAACCGCGACAGGGTGAAAGTACTGGATTGACATCTCCAATAACCGAGTCCAAACAAGCGTTGATGAGATCTCGTGGTTGTAGGGATCAAAATCATCCGTCCAGGGGTGCACCGTGAGGTAATTATCCCCAACCATCCAAGGCCCACCTGTAACCGCTCTGTCATAGTCTACCCCACTTGTAAAACGCACTAGAAAGTAGCCATTCTTTACCGAAGTGACCTGAATAGATCCGACTTTAGCCAAGATGGTCTGAAGCCGTTTCAGCATGAGTGTGTATGAGACTGACCTTCCCAAAGCTTTCACTACTAGTGCGGATCTCCAGCTACGACAGAATAACCTTTCCTCTGCAGCGGTGAAATGGATCGAAGGGCACTTGGGGTCTATCTCACCATCAAACCCCGCTTCAAGACCATCCTGACGTATAGCAGCCGTGACATCCTCCGAGTCCGAATCGGCAACATACCACATGTCCGTTCTAACCGTATCGCTAAACAATCTTCTCGTTGTTCCCGTCCCGGCACCCCAAGCTGACGGTTGCGGCATTGCCTGGGCATTCGTTCCTTGGGTCACCGGCGGCGTCTTCGTCGAAGCCATATCCCCGCCATCTTCCGTCTCCAAACAGCCCGACGTTTGTTTCGCTCTCTTCTTAGTCTGCTGCGTCTCACGATCCCCTTTCGGGTTAGGCGACGAAGACGCAGATGGAGGCCGACGTTGGCCTGCCATCGATTCAGGCTCCATATTGGTGTCCATGTTGTCCTCAGCCAGCGGTGTAGCCACCGTCGGCGAGGTAGCGCGAGAAAACCCTAAACCGCTCGTCGTCACTCAGGAAATCGGCGCTCCTAAACTATCGGAGTGAGATTTTTTTTCTTCCTATTCATGAATTTTAATTAAACGGATATCATCTTGTAAAGCAAAAAAAATTCGATTTTCTTATACAAAAAGTTGTGAAATTCTATATAAAACGAATGAGATATAGGACGTAGGATACTTAAAAAGTATTTTAACTGCACGCGTAGAATTCACTTTCATCCCCAAATTTCAGCTGAGCCGTCCAAAGATCTACTTTCCCTCTTTACCATTTTATGAGGTGGACCATGAAATTTCTCCCCAATTACAATCTTTAGATATGATTTTATAGATTTAATGAGAGTATAAGAACCTAATACGTAGAAAATTGGAGTCGTTATGTACTAGTTTTTTCTCCTAATCGTGTATTTTTCTTACTTATTACTTGCTGCCAGATTGATGAATGTGCATCATCCCTCCAACATTGCCACGCAGGCCTGAAACCCTGAGTCTAGATACCAATATGGCGCCGGACGGCCGGAGGAACCCGGGAGTTGGGCTGGATCGATAAAATACGAATATAGCTAACCCAAGTTATGGGTGGGACTAATGGTGGCTGGTTTGGTTCCGGAAATACCGCACATTCGATTTAATTCCATTGGTCAGTACCCCAGCCAAGACACAACAAAATAAATGTGAAGGACTATGTCTCCAAGTCAAAATGAAGCATATTACAATTGGACCTGGTATAATTGAAGACGTATTTTGTTCAAGTTATGGCAATTTATACTAAGCAAACACTAGTGAGCGTGCATTTTTAGATGATTGTTGACTTCAAAGTTCGAATTTAGAGTATGATGGATGTTCTCATATTCATATTATCATCAAATCACCTCTTTGGTGTTAAATTGCATGCTTTTAAGTAGACAATGTTGCTTCGTTCAAATCCTCGAATGGTCAGAATGAACTATTACGAACACAAGACCAATTTTATCTACCAAGCATGTGTGAATGTGCAATGAGTACAAGTTGATGAGAAAGAAGCTGTGCTCGAACTTCATACATATATAATATATCACCATATAACAAAAAAAATCCATGGCACACAAAGAAAACCAGTTGATATATATGGAGCAAAATTATTGTTCAATAACACATCAGCACGCATAACAACCAAAAGAAACATAACTTGCTCAAACGTTTTCCATCTTCCCCTAGGATAGTTACGTTCTAGCATACATAGATAGATCGATATCAGTTTGGGCATCTGCAACTTGTTCCAAATAAAAAAGGAAAAAATAAACTTGTGTGCTTAGATGAAGCTTCTTATGCTGCAATAATATTATGACGTTTCCATGCATTGTAGCAGATGGAAGTGTTGGGCCACAGCAGAGGTCATGGCAGCCATCCTGGCATGTAGTTATTCACACTGGGACCGGCCGTTGCTACTGTCAAATCCGTTAGTGTTGGATCTGGCTGATATCTGCACTCAAAACATTTCACCAATAAAATAAGCTTATGATGTTCATGCGCAAGTAAGCAGCTAGTAACAACGTCAACATGGACTGATTCATCCTTTCGGGGTTAGAATAGACATTTCGACAATTCGCCGATTTACAACAAACAATTTTGTTTCCATTAATTATACTGTACGGAAGATGAAAGTTCATGTGTTGTGTTTTCCTGATGATACATCTATCTAGTTTCACTTTTGATTTTATGACAAGTACAAGAAGCAGCGAATCTAGCAGAGACGACCAGGCCAAATGTGGGATTAGTTTTACTTTATTAAACCTACCATCATCCTGCCGCCCACTATAACTAGAAGTTGTAAGGAAATGCATTATAGGAAACCAAAGAGGGATTAAGGGTTAAGAAAGGGAGTTTGAGAGCATTAATTAATTACGTACCCAATCTGTAAAGTGGGTTCGCAGTCCAAGGGATGAAAAAAGCCATCGCCCTGCGGCTGATGATGAGCTTGGTGTCTGCCATAGTCTTCTGGACCAGGGTTCAACTGCAGCGTGTTGTTTATTTGGTACCCTTCCATCAGCTGCCAAATCATGTACAAAAATGAACAAGAAATAAAAATCATGTTGATGGGTGATTGATTATAGTACTAGTGATTGATGAGAGAATTCCATATAGGATTCGGATTCTAGCCTCTCCAAAACTATGACCTACAGTGCGGAACTTAAGGTCGCGTACCCTTTGTTTCAGGGTCTTATTTGCCTCATTCAGCAAGTGTTCCTGCACATGACAACCCCATTTTGCTAAACAAATAGGACCAAGGGCAGAATGAAAGAAACAGCAGTATATATCATTAGAGAAAGTCTTGCGTTATATACAATACCTTGCGCTGTAAATCAGTGAGCTGGTCCAACATGTACTGGGTCTGTAAATACAGTAAAACAAGAAGAAAAAGTGAGATTCAAAATGTGAATATACCACAGAGAGAAGATATGTTACTTGAATCTATATTTCCCATTACATACTCTTGTTGATCTGATCTGCTTCAGTGACATGTCAAGCTGCCTTTCAAGTGACTCGAGTTCCTTAGTGTTTAGAGGCCCTAGGTCTTCTCCGAGCAAGTTCCTAAAGTAATGAAAAGGGGGGAAGCTACCACCATGAGTCCATTTCTAAAGGTTTACCTCACAAATAAAATTGATATGTAACTATCTCAAAGTAATTCGCCAGAGATAGTAAACATGCAAGTCATCACAGGTCTGAGATGATTCAATTCGATCCACATCAGATAGAGCTGAACCAAACTTGGCTAAAAACTGAACTGATTGAAGTATAACATGTCCCATTTTCTCCACTCCCAAATTCAATACATTTTGATTTAATCATTTTCATGGATCAATGTAAAAGAAAAGAACAAGATAAACTGATCTGAAACCAAAGCCAGTCACCCTCACTTTTGCTTCAGTTTTGATCCTCAGTTTTTGTTTAGATATGATCCAACTCAGTTCAATTCATGACCGAACCGGATCATGCAGCCCGCCGTCCACATGAGTTTAATTAGCGCGTATTAATGATCAACTATATTTAGTGGCTCACCTTTGAGACCTTTGCAGCGCCTCATAGCGGGCTTTAAGCTTCAGATACTCCTGCTGACTGCTTATCTCCTGTTGACCATTGATCCAAAAAGAAGAGGAAGTTCAAGGCATTAAATAACAATGAAACTCAAGATTAAATTAAGATTGATTGATGTTCAATGAGGGAGAAACATTTTACCAGGGCTTCCCTAGCTGAGACAGTGGATTCTGGTGCTCCATAATTACATTTCTGGTACCTCTCCAAGGTTTTGAGCATGCTGAACAAACCAAGAGGACAATTGTGGTTATGTGCCTAGCACCATGAATTAATCTTTAATCAAAAGACATATAAATGAGTTACCATTTCCAACTAAACAAAGCAAATACTAAACAAAACTAGGCTGCATAGTTTACCATTTGCAACTAGACAAAGCAAATATTTTACAAATACTAAGATGAATAGTCTTACCATTTGCAACTAAACAAAGCAAATGGCAAACAAATGCCATGGTGGGTTTACCATTTGCATCTAAACAAAACAAATTATTGAAAGTACTAGGGTGGTTTCAATCAAGGATTGCACACCATGATCTCTTTGGGAAAGGATTATACACACTCATTTGTTTGGATGGACAAATAACTGTTCGAAAGTGTAAATTTATATTTCTCTTGCACTTTTCCAAATTTGTAACCACAAATCATTCTTCATTCAATTTTGACTTAGTTATAAGGGAACTTAAACTAAGTTCTTTATTAAGATACATAAAGATAACAAAGTGACATTCATCACGACAATGAAAAATAAACTATCAATCCATCCAATGTTTGAGTTTTGATAACACCTGTATTAAGAAAGGTAATATTAAGTCAATCTTATAAGACACCATATTAATTCAATAAATTAAGTGTTATTAGACTTGATGGATAATAAATTTCGAGTATTATGATTGATAAGAGAGTAGGAGAAAAGTCATAAATAATGAGTGAGGAATAATGATGATTATCAAGAGAGAAATAGAACATATCCCTTGGATATTAGACTGAACCCTAAAAACCATCATTCGACCACCTGTAGTTGTACAACTACTACTGCAACAAGACCCATCCAAATGCATCATATCAATTTCTCAGATCTGAAATTGTGTGCAAAGGGGAGAAAGCGAGAGATCAGAAACATTGAAATCTGATTGTGATGTGAATAAGAGATTAGAAAAAGGAAATATGAAACCCTAATTAATTAATTAATTAATTATTCTCTTATACCTTGAAAACCCTAAAACAGTCCCATCTCTGCCGCGCTTGCGTGTGGAGAAGGGATTAATTTTACCGCCGGCGCCCACAAGGAAGCTACTCAAGATCCGACGGAAATATAGAAGAACTTCCGCCATAAAAGACCGGAAGAAAGAACAGAAGGAAAAGAAAGATCAATCAGACCGCAGCCAAAATGTTCTGAATTTCTTCCTCGATTGATAGATTGAAAAGAGATGAAAACTTTCTGGTAAAAGAACTAAATTCATTTCCAAACAAACCCAATAAACTATGCCAATAAATTGCTTGAACCTGCTCTGAGGAAGAAGGCTTGTTATAGAAATCTAGAGAGCAGCTGCTAAAATCAACAGATGTATGCAGCAAGCTAGTTTCTTCATCTTACGTGCTGGAAGCTCATGAAAAAAAAAGTAAGCATAGAGGTGGGAAAAGAAGAAAAAAAGAAAGGGTAGTGAGAAAACTGGACTTCGAGTTTGTTTGGATCCTGAGAAAATGCTAAGGAAGGAAGGAATGAAAATTTCAGCTGGTTGATTAAAAAAAGGTAGATCCAAATTAGCTGCGACATGTACATCAGAGAAAAGCCTCCGGAAAAAAACTAGCTACAAACAGATCGAAGTTCAGTGCTACCAAGTACACAACATATCTATGTTTCTTCCTAATGAGAAAACAGAAACACAGAATTGGAACGTTCAAAGATTCAATAAAAGGAAAAAGAAGAGGTCTAGGAAACAGTGGTAGGGAAAGCTTCTTTTTTTAAGAAGAAGAAGAAGAAGAAGAAATGGAGGGGCAAAAAATTTGTCTTCCTATAGTGTTTACCAGTTGCAGATCTAACATCAACACATACTAGCAAGACACTCAACCTGCTATAAACGCCGAGACATTCACAGAAACGGCAAACCCAATTCCCTTCCTTTCTCTTCCTCTTCTTCTTCCCCTTTTCCCTCTTTTCAAGACACGCCCAGAAACAAAGGAAGCAAAACAGAAAAAGGGTTCATTTCATTTTCTTTTGTTTCTAGCTCTAGATAGCTAGAAGGAAGAGAGAGAGAGAGAAAGTATAACTATGGTGGTGAGAAGGGATTGAACTGAATTGATCAAACTATATTATACCTTGAGCTACTGCAAAACTCATAGAGCTTGCCACGATTGGAGAAGATGATGAGGGCAACTTCAGCATCGCAAAGAACAGAAAGCTCGTAGGCTTTCTTCAAAAGTCCATTCCTTCTCTTTGCAAAGGTTACTTGCCGGTTGATCTTGTTCTCAATCCTCTTCAGCTCAACCCTACCTCTCCCCATTTCGATCTTCTCTTTCCCCTCTCTAAGACCTTATTTCCTTTTTGTTTTCTTTTGTTTTTTTTTTCTCTCTGCAGAAGAAGGGCTAAGCTAAGCTAAGCTAAGCAAAAGAAAACTGACATGAAATTCTTTCCCTTCCTTTTGTGGCTTTCTATACTTCTTTCTTCTTGCTTGGTGTGAAGAAGCCTTCTTCTCTCTTTTGTGTTTATATATGCGCCTTTGGTTTCTTTCCTTCACTACCAACTCCTCTCTCTCTCTCTCGCCTTCCTTTGCTCACCGTATATATTAGGGTATGAGGATCATATGAACTTTTTATGGACTAGTTTGAGTACCAATGTGAGGTGTAAATTGTGATGTATGTACGCGATGATGGTAAAAGAACTCATTTACAAATTGAATGGTAGAACTTGTTGCTAAAGTTCATTTTGTTATAGACCACATTAGATGTATAGTAGAAGTGGTGGCAATGGAGGATTGAACTCGTGACTACGTGATTAAACGTTTGATTAACGTAACTTGTCAACTATCGTGTAAATTGTTTTTGTTTTACTAGATTTTTTATGCACATGATGTCTGTAAGAGTCCATCATCCTTGTAATTAATCAATTCTCGATTCTTTTGGATAAATAAGTGATAATTTCCTATCACAGAGAGAGTCGGAGACACAAAATTGGTACCCAAGAAATGAAAGCAGTACTTCAGAGTCTGTAAAATCGTGAACAGATTAATGGTGAATCCATGCAAAAGCTCCACGTGATTCATTGTGAATCAACCGGAAAGGATTGGTAAGACCAACATGTTCATTGGATGTTAAAGATGATAATTTTCACTAGTGTTAGAAATCCATGACCCAAACGGCCCATGAGATACAATTTACCTAACATATGAGATTTGAGGGAAGTCTGAAAATAAATGTTACATCAGATCCCTTGTAGCGTTATTACAATGTTCGTATCATTAACAAACACAATTGTAAGTCAAATGACTTGGGGTTAAGTCTGAAAGTTGCATAGCCATTAAGATTAAGATACCCACTAAGAAGAGCAAAAATAAATTACCAAAGAATTTGTGGACTAATGTACCGTTAATTTAATTTGAAGCGGAGTTAATTGTATTGTAGGGTGGATAAAACGGACCACTGACTTTGACTTCATTGTGCGTGGCTTGGTGGTTACCGGCAGGCAACCATGAAGGCCAGAATGGACGTGTTTGATGTGAGGTGACTTCAATCAGACGGTTGCAAACAGATAGAGGTGGCGGGTAAGGATTGGCATGAGTAAAAACATCATGGAGTGGGGTCAGGAATGATGACGTGTCAAGCGATGAAGTGGTGTCATGGTAGGAAAATAAATCCGCCTATGGTGCTCACAGTTAGGGATGGCAATGGGTAGGGTCGGGTGCGGGTTTACCCTATACCAACTCCTAACCCGTCGGGTAGAGCCTTCTAAAATACCCGATCAAATAACCACCGGGTATGAAAATTATATAACCATACCCTACCCACCGGGTAACCACGGATATTCGGGTAACCATGGGTATGAATCCTAAACTATGAACTTATACACATATATGCACATACATACTGTTGTCCATTAAAAATTCTCAATACTTGTAACTGTTCTAGCTTCAACAATTCACACAAATAAAAACAACAAACACATAATAATTGTTCTTGCTTCTACAATCCACATAAACATAATAATCGTCTACATCTTCATCATCAATAATGGTAGCTAAACTCAATTTCTCAAGCTAAACTAAATTTCTCAAGGGAAATTGACCCTTTGGTTAGCGGGGCGGGTATAACGGGGCGGTTATTATCGATTACCATACTCGTGCCCTACCCTTTATTTTGAAACCGGGTATTACCCGTACCCGCCCCTTAACCCGTCAAAGCCTACCCGACCTTAACCGGTCAACGAGGGTAATTACCCTCGTTGACCGGTTACGGTCGGGTAGGGTACCCATGGTTACGGGTTCGATTGACATCCCTACTTACCGTTGTTGGGTGATGTAGTGAAATTTTTGTAAATAAAATGTTATCGCAATGCTAGCAAAAAATTGATCTAGTAGTAAAAACAAATTTATGTTATCCTTATAACAAAATGCTATCGCGTTAGTCCAGCTATTGTGGAGCGTTCACTCCGATTCTACAAACGTAAGACACTATGATGACGTTAACAGACGCATTCTAAATACGATAACGAAATTGTGGGAAAATACGGTAGGCTAGTAGGCTAATAGGCGTATCTGGTATTTATCCAACTTCACTATTTTTTTCAAACAAATCATATACCTAACCTTAATGAAGGTGAAGCCACTTGGTAAGTTCCCCAATATGCTTTTACACAAATTTCCCTATCTTAGTTTTTGGTTCGCACAAAACTACCACAAATTAATCCCGACTAGAGCCCAAGTTTTTAAACTCTAGTCGAGTACCGTATAGAGCAAGTATTTAAATTGTCAACCCGGGCCGATCCATGTACCCCTACTTCAATCGCTTAGGTTGTTATCTAGCAAGCAACTTTTGTGTTTATAACTAATGGAACTACAAACTAAACTATCAAGGAAAAGTAAATAAAGGAAAAGTCTAACTAAGAGAGCTTCACCGGGGAGTTGCTTCCCCCTAACTAGCTACCATGACTCGTTGGATTGAATGGAGTTGTGTGGTGTAAGTGGTTATGAACTGCTGGGGTGAGCAACTAGTGATCGATTTGTCACGAAATCAAATCACTAGCGATCGATTTGTCACGGGATCGATTCACTCACCAGATCTAGGGGAACCACTAGGAGGAGCAACCAATGCAGTCAAAATCTAGATTTTAAGTAAAATCGAAAACTGAGGTAGAATCGAAATAGTAGATTAAAATAGTAAAATCATAAGATTTTAAGGTTCATATTAAAATAAATACTTAAAACACTAGATAGTAATGAAAATGCATATCTTGAATAACAATCAACCACATAAAGCATAATTACTTCCCAAGATAAGTTTGTTTGCTAAACAAACACAACTAATCCATATATTTTTCTTGTACATAATAGAAACACACAAATAAGAAACCTGAAACATTATAGATATCACTGTTAATTAATTGTTAAGAGTAGAAAATCACATAAGATCGTTAGGATCAACATTAACATCACTTACACATCATCGTCATCATCCTCAACCTCACCCTCACTCTCATCGTTTTTATTTGTTTAAGGACTAATATCATTACTCTTATGATCACTTGAAGTACTTTCACCATTAACCATATTTCATTGATTACCATCATCTGGAAAAGAAACTCGTTGATTGATGAATTCCCTTCTTAATTGATAAAAGGTCGGGTTAGTGGTGCTAAAGGATTGGGAGATGAACAAAAGCTTGCAATGTTATGGAGATTTGGATTATTGTGAGGGTGGTGGGAACAAACTACAAGCTAATTGGGAGGGTGGAAGAAATCGTTGATGGAAGGAGTTGGGCACCGATGTGCGAAAGAGGAAGATACGAGGAAGAGAATGAAAATAAATTGAGGGTTAACTATCAGGTTGGGGTTGTGTTGTTCATTATGTTGGGTTGGGGAAAGTAAATTTGACTCGGTTCTTGGGCATAACCCAACTTGACCGGCCTAATTTTGATCCAATTGATATGAACCTTGAAATCGTACAAAATCGTAGAAATCGTAGATTTTATGGATTTTAGAGTTTTAAATCGGGATTTTATGGGATTTTAAGGTTCAAAGATTTTACAGTAAAATCAGGATCGGAATCCATAGGTAAGATCGTAAAATCGTAAGATTTTAAGATTAAAATCGGGATTTTGACTACATTGGGAGCAACTAGTGATCCATTTGTCACGGGATGGATTCATTGGAGGTCGATTTGTCACGGGATCGATCCTCTCACTCAGTCACGAGTCGTTGCCTAGGTCTTTCCCTCAAACCGGAGTTTGAGAGGCTTAATCACAACCAACCTAGATGCAAACTGGTAACCGCGAACTGTAGAGGGATGCATATGTGGTCGGAGAACACAATCTCAATTGCTAAACCGAGGTAAGCATGAAAGGTCGTGTCACTCGACCCTCTTGGTTTAGAAAATCGGTAGTTGACGTACTCCCTCAATCAATTCTAAGTTCGGACGGCTTAATCGCGATTAACGGACTTGCTTAACTCAATATTAGGGGTTGCCCTAACTTAACCTAGTTTAGGTGGCTTAGAAAGACGAAGGAAAACCAACTCGATTGAGTCTCCCTTGGAAGGGGGATTTTCCTCTCTAAGCTAGGCTAAGGTGGCTAATTAGATTGCTAGCACCAACATGCACAAACCTAAGGATGCTAAGCACTATTATGCACAACATGCACAAACCTAAGGATGCTAAGCACTATTATGCACAACCCTTAGATTGCTAAGCACGAGCATGCACAATCACCATGAAAACACCTCTAATATTCAAATTGATACAAACAAATACTTAATCATTCAATCTAAACAAGTAATTACAAAGTATTAGTTAGGTATCTACAACACCCAAGAGAAAAGAGTGAGTTTCTAGAGAGAGAGAGAGGGATTACAAATTTGAGCTCAAGATCTTCTTCTTCTTCTAGGCTTGAATCTTCCACCCAATCCTCTAATGATGCTCCTAGATCACTCTAGCACTCTTTCTCTCTCACTAGAACTCCCCTTTGGTGTTTTGGGGAAAACCCTAGAGAGAGAAACCAATTCTTCTCCAAAAACCAGCTCTCTTCTCTCTCCCCGTTGCTGTCTTCATATTTGCCCAAAAGTGACCAGTTCATGGACGCGTTGGTCAGTTCATGGCCGTGAACACCTAAACGCGTCCGTGAACTCAGCATCGTCCGAAAAGCACCGCTTCACTGTCCTAGGTTCACGGTCAATGGCCACAGTTCACGGTCTTTGGTTTTTTACCTCCAAATATCCCAAAACTCGTCCTTGACCCTTCCACACAAGCTAGGACCTGAAATGTATCAATACAAGTACAACCTAGCGTGAAATATGTCG